AGGCGCTTCCATCTCATTAGAGAGATTTTTGGAAGAGGTGATGTCACCTTGCAGAAAATAGCATCCGCGGAAAACGTGGCGGGTCCCTTCACTAAAGTGTTGCATCAATATTCTTTTGAAAGACACCTTGACAAAATGGGTTTGAGGTACGAGAAATGTTAGCTTTAGTGCAAGTGAGAGATTGTTAACTATATGCCTTAAAGCAACCATGTAATTGTTACATGTTAGGAATTTCAATTGTATTATTTATTTAATGGCAAGGACATATTCATTCATTGTCCTATTTATATGAATGAGTCCATAAGACCAATTATGACTAACCTATTCTTAAGGTGTTAAGAATATGTGTGACAGATTCAAAGGTAGACCGAGTCTTTAAACAATTCCTAGTCGATAGATCATTGAGAGGATATTGATGATTGTGTTGGGACCAGTGCGTTCTCAAGCTTCACCATTGGGTATTGGATACTTAAGGGAATGATGAGTCATAAGTCATTGAGTATTGTGATACTCGAGATAGAACACAAGTGCTTGTATTAGACAAGTTCATTGAACATGACATACTTAGAACGATTGGCAACATTGAAGCTTTTAGCCGAGTCAATGACTAATCCTTTAGGCTCTGGTCTTGCGTAAAATCTTTAGACCTGAGGCATGGTATTGACTTGTATTTTGGATGGTTGTGGTTCACAAGTGCGCATATTAATGCTTCGTCAAACCATCTCTGTATTTGATAGCCATATTTTGTTCATATACGAAGGCATTTGCGTGCGCAATATGGAATTTGTCTTCTTGTTATATACAAGATACTATAATGATGTCTAATGCTATTTAATCGTGACATTGTATTGAAATCCGTGGCCGGGGTTGTAATCGAGAATGAATAGTTCATATCTTGTTGAAATACATGTCAATTAGGTTTGTGCATATGATCGAATTGGTGGCTTGACAAACAATTACATGGCCTTTGTTCGATCAAGACAAAGTAAGACAGAAGGATTGAATTATATGAGAGCCAAAGCTAACAGGTTAATTATGTTCTTAAAAACATTTACATTTTTTTGGTAAATGTCACTCATGACATATTACTAAATGTCACTATTGGTTTGTAGGACCTAGAGATTGATTGGGACAATCAGTTCTCTTGGTTGTACTAAGGTGTTAGTATAAGTCCTACTATCAGCTTAGTGATGAACCTAGGAATGTCACACATCATAACCAATTTAGAATGACGGAAGAGAAATATTGCAAATGTGTTTGCAAGTTTTGGTAATCAGATTGAGTCGAGCAAGATTAAAGTTCTGAAATGGGTTCAGAATCAATGGCCATATTTAATAATCTAAAATGGTTTCAGAATCTACGGCCAAATTAATGTTTTGAAACTGTTTTAAAATAAATGGTTAGATTAATCATCTAAACAATTTTAGAATCAATAACCAAATTAATGATGTGAGACGATTTCAGAATCAATGGGCAGATTTATAATCTGAAACGGTTCAGAATCAATGATCAGTTTAATAATTATTAGAAAAAATTAACGGTCAATTTAATGATCTGAAACGGTTTCAAAATCTACGGCCAAATTAATGTTCTAAAACGGCTTCAGATTTAACGGCTGAATTAATACTTTGGAACGGTTACAAAGTCAATGCCCAGAATAATACTTTATAGCGGTTACAAAGTCAATGCCCAAAATAATACTTTGTAACGGTTACAGAGTTAATGCCCAACTTAATGCTCTAAAACAGTTTCATAATCAATGTCCAGATTCAAACTCTGAAACGGATTAGACTTAGGGCCGAATTAATGCTCTGAAACGGTTTCAGAGTTAATGGTTGAATTGATTTAAATAAATTGGATCTGAGACTGATAATAAAAGATAATAGAGATCAATCATTTCATTCACACACAAGAACAATTGCTAGCACAATTGGTGTGACGAAATCTCTCAAATTCTCTCCAATGTTCGATGCACAATTGGTGGTGTGTCTGAACTAGAAGTCTGACCTTTGTGGGGCTGGAACCAGAGAACATCAGAACATGTATGACCCAAGGTCCGACATTTGTGGAGTTGGATTTGGAGATCATCAGAACCAGATTGCTCAGACATTCTACGAGGAGATCGGACGTTTATGTTCCAGAACCAAAGAGCGTCAGAACCAAAGTTTTCTTTGGATACAGTACAAGGGAATTGCGATGAGCCCTCTTCCACCTTTCTATGCGCTTCTTGTTAAATTGCACGAATAATGTTTTGGAGATACAAGAAATGCATTTTTTTTTTTTGGTCAGAAGATTTTAAATTAACTTTGCCATGCATGTTTTCGCCGAAACCAAATACCAGCATCTAAAACATAAAGTAAATGGAAAGTTTTCTTGTATACACGATTCTTATTTAGCTAGTGACTAAGACCAAAAATTTAAACATTCTAGAGAGTTGATTACCCTGTAAAGAAAGTGAATGGCAGCTCAAGATTCGGAACCGATATTCGTTTGGATAAATAAATTTTTTTTTTGTCAACGGATAAGTACAGGCTGTACAGCTGACTGGATGGTAAAATTGCAACACATACTTTCTTTCATGATTTTAAACCTGTTCTTATTTTGAAAGTTCATAGATTCTCTATAAATAATTTGTTGGTGTCTATTAATTAACTACACTTATTGTTAAGGATTTTATTACAATGTACGATATAGAAAATTTGTTGTACGACGTTAATTGAATTCATAAAATTAGTGAAAAAATTTTGCCAACGAAAGGCAAATTGTAAAAATTGTTAAATTACTGTACTTAAACGTTATGAGGCTATCTTCTTCAGTTTAAAGAGATAATGTGGTGATTGAACTTCTATAAGGCATCCATCCGAGCTTTAATCTTCTTTACTCATATGTTTGCTTGTTTCAATATAGATGACTTTCATTGATATCAGAATTGTACGATTCGATTAGATTCGTGGCCCTAGCAATATGTATCTATAAGGTGAACTATTAATCACTTGTACTGCAAGCAAATCTTTCGATTGAATAACAAATCTACAAGTGTATACATACCTATCGATTGAAGCAATTCAGTTGATAGGTACATACCTATGGATTGAAGCAAAATCTATGAATTTCTATAGTGGATTTTGCTTCCTCTCCCTGTGGTCTTTCCACGGGTTTTCACGTAAATTTGTGTGCTTTTTTTATTCTTGTCAAATTTTAATTTTGTTGTAGGTTCCGCATTGGTCATAACAATCTAGTATCAAAGCCATAGGGTTTTTCGATCATCTAGTTATGGATTCAAGTTCAATAATGAAATTTGATATTGAGAAGTTTGATGGAAGCTGCAGTTTCAATCTACGGCAAGTTCGTATGTTGGTTGTTCTTACATAACAGGTCTGAATACAAACTCTATTTGGGAAAGCGAAGAAACCGAAAAGCACATTAGATGAAACCCGGGAAGAATTGGATGAAAAGGCTATTTCTACTATCCAGTTGTGTCTCACAACGAAAGTCAGCACAAGTTACTAGATCAAAAAACAGTAGGTTTATGGACAAAATTGGAGTATAATTTTTAGTATAGCTTAGTTAAAAAAAATTAGTGAGTGCGAGGCATTGCAAAGTGTAATTGTTTCCTTTTCTAAACACTAGCTATCACGAAGTGGTATTTGTTTCTTTCCTTTAATTATGCTATACATAAGATATTATATTTGAATTGTAGCTGATCTTATGTGGCAATTATTATCTAAAAGTAAAAGAAGGAAAAAAAAAAAAAGAGAGGTGGTATTGGAATTCTTTTCCATAGATGAGTGAATGCATGGCGTGTGCAAAAAAGGAAACTTCGATAAACGTGAAAAAGGGCAAAAAAAAAAGCAATATCACAATTTTCATCCAAAAGTAAAAAGGAACAAATATGAAAAAGGCAATTATGGTTGTGACAACCTGGGCGAGTCTGATATGATCCATTCTTCATCCTTAAATAGCTTCATGATGTTGATATCGAAGCAATGATTTGCCGAGATGATGAATTCATCAGCTAAGCTCGTGTTCATTTGTTCTTTGTTGCTAATTAGTTGTGTAGGAGATTTCTAGTGCAAGGTACATGTTGAGATCCAGAATAATTTGCTGGCCGGATTACTCAAGAAGTTCATTGCAAATTCAAGGACGACGATCTCGGAATCCATTATATAACAACAACACACAATTGGGGATTCTCGTTCAATTTCAATTTCTTTGGGAGGACTAGCTTCTTCTGAAACTTTGCATGGCCGAGTCAATTAAAGTGGTTCGATATATATGTGTAAAACAGGGATCAATATTTTTGCGAGGAGTATACTTGGCAGATCTCGCCAAATGGTCCTTGTAGGTTTGATGAAGCAACCAAAAAATTTGATGTTTGTTTTCCATGGAATCCTCCTACAAAATTAGGGAGGAAACCTATTATCTAAAAGTAGAGAAAGAAAGATGGTGTTGTAACTTGATTCATTACAGTTTACATGGAATAAGGATCATTTTAGTTGTATATATACACGCACACACGTGTTTCTTTTCTAATATCCTCATTATTTTGATTTCAATGGGCATCTCTTTCTTTATAGTGTTGTCTCTTCGTTTTTGGTCATTGTTTTTGTCCTTATTATTAATATTTTTTATCACTGTCAAAATGTTTTGATGTAAATCTTTTTTTGGTGTACCGGGCCATTGGAACTTGGAGTGATTTGTCACGGCTAGTTCGGGTGCGAGCCATGGGAAAAAACTAATCACATTCTTAACATCGACTTCCAGTAATGTTCCTGTTCCAATTTGAGGAAGCTGAGATCGTAGGCCATATTTGTCGGAATCGGCAAAGATGCTATGCCTAGAAGGGTATGGCACTGCCATCATTGTACGTAGAATATAAGGGATGTAAGTGTAATTGTCACCTGTTGGAGATTAGTTTCTTTTCTTTTCCGACTGTAATTGTAACACCATAATGTAAAAGGGTGCGCGTGAAATTATTTTGACATAATCGAGAACGGTAGTTTTCGAAAATATGAATAAGTTCCGAAACAGGGTATGTTCGTCCTCCCACACATGGTTAGAGACAGATCGGACACGAACACACAAAATTGGATAATGATATATGGAGAAACAAACAGAGCTCAGAAAACGACTATTGTACCTTAAAGGGATCTTTCTGCACAACCTGAAAACAAGCATTAATTCCTTTTCTGTCTAGCTACCTCTCCCTCTTTATTATTCACTTCCCTGTTTTTGGGCTTGGCCATCTTCTGAACGGGTGACCACAAACAACAAGGCTTGGAAAGAGGCTATTGACAAACTCAGGAGCTGTGGTTAGTTTATTTGCTCAAGTTCTCTTCAAGCCTCTCAATTGCAGCGCCGACACCACTCCTTGCTTCTCCCCTTTGATACATATCACGGGAAGCAGCCAGACTCCCTTCATTTGCTTTCTCCACTAGCTTCAAATGGAGCCAACCTGCAAAGAAGAACATGGTACCCCAAATAGGATGTTGTGTCAGGAAAAAAAGAACAGAGTCTGGTCTTTTTTCACATTTTCATGTCAAGTTTCAGTTTGAGCCGTGTGACAAGAAGCAGTGTTGTAAGACCTACAGACTGATTAACAAATCAGCAAAATTTTGAGATCATTCTGCTAAGATATTCTATCGTGCAAACCCCCTTGGATATCTTGTTTCTTAACTCACTAATTTCAACTTGATAAACTCAGAATACAATAAAGCTTTTATTGAAGTTTTTCTGACACGGTCCCAGTCTCATACTTACCAAGAGGAAGGCAAACTGCAGCTCCAAGAGTTGCACCAAGAGCGACATTCCTTGCACGCCACTTTAGTGATCCTGGTACTAACACAGACTAAAGTTAAGGAAAGTAACTATTTTTCCATTTAGGATCAGTTATTTAACAGTATCAGTCCAAAATTGTGATACATTGACTTAGCAGGCCACTCCACAAAAGTGAATATGCAAAATATCTCAAGGATGGGAAGTAATGCCTTACAGATCAAACCAAAGGTTGCGGCAGTGGCCGAACCAGCTCCAGCTATGTTAAAAACATCCTGAACTCCTCGTTTCTCAGCTAGCAGATTTTGCAGCCCATAAAATGCAGCAGTAAACACCCCGAGGCGCACTCCACCAATGATGGAGCCACGTGTAACTCGAATAAACCTTTTCTCCATTGCATCCCTCATTAGTCGATACTGCTCACGCTTGTCGGGTGTGCTCCCAAGTTTCAACATCACTTCAGCATCCTTGCTCTGCCAAAACATAGCAAAGTCTTTTACCACCACTAGTGTGTGATAGAATTAAGCTGAACCAAATGTCATGTCATGAATTATCTATGGAAGGGTCTCAGTTTACCTAAATTCAAAATGGTTGACAAAGAAGGGGGGGAAAAGCATGTGAAACAGGAAGTACAACACAGGTTGGAGCAGTGAAATTCTAGTCAAAGAATACACTCTGCATCATTTGGAGACTACGTAAGGATGAAATTGAAACTAAATGAGGTCATCATTCTTATCGGCCAAAAAATGACGGAATGTAAGTGCAAAAGTCACTTTATTTCCATGTTCTCTTACCTGAGGGGTACTGACTGTTCTGGAATATAGGCGTACTGACTATTCTGGAATGAACTTTGGAAACAATGCTTAACAATTATCAGACAACAAATATTTCTTGCTGAATTAATGGTGATTCCATGCCTTCACTTCATTACTGTTTCGTTGATCACCTCATCATTCTTAAACAAAGAGGAAAACGTGTCCCACCAAATGGCTTATTCAAGAATAACAATCTCCAACACTGAAGAAAATATGATTTTGAAGAGCATAACGGAGATGTCCCTATTACCATGTAATCAGTAAAGCCAGGCCGACAGAACTGATAAACACAGTTGTAGGTTGACTAGAGAAGATGTACTATGGACATCTCTTGTTAATGAAAACTTACAACAGAAGCAGCTGCCTCCTTGCTACCTCCATATAACATGCCAGCAAACACTCCAACAACAGTTGCTGTACCCCAGTTGACTGTTCCCGCCAACTTTGGAGAACCCTGACCATCAAAAAGGAGTACGTTAGCCCATACAAATGTGTCGATCTAGTGTCATCAATCAAACAACTTGAGCATGTGATGATAACACATAAACACACGAGGCTCGTCCTCGTTAAGTTATTTTGACCCATTTGTAGTTTGCGCCCTCAGGTGTTGCTCCAATGCAACCTATTGTCTCAACAGGCGCATCAAACTCCCACATCCAGCAGCTGATCAGTAAGAGTTTCTCCAAGTCACGAAGAATGAATTACATGTCTCAACAGTGGATGATCGGCTTAAGCTTTTCTCTTCCCCACTCAAAGTATAAGCTAATTAATCCGAGTAAACACTTTACCTACCACCGCTGCTGAGGATTCTCGTGCAACTGATAGGAAAATCAGAACCGAAAACTCACATGGACATTCCATCGAGCATGTGGGCGACACCACAAACATTTTGCAGCAATGACACAAGACCCAGCAGCAAAATTCAATCTTTCCCAACCGAACGAATCGCTTGAGCTCGATAGGCAAAGAATCCGAAGATGTCGCACGGCATGCAACATGTATACTCGACTTATTATTATTAACCCCCCAAAAGAACCGCCAACATGAAGGAGACCGTACGAGAATATGAAAGCTTACGGTGGAGATGGGTTCGTCAGCATTCTCAGCAGTTGCCATGGGATGGTGATTCCGGAGCCAACAGCTGAGCCCAGAGAGAGAGGGAGAGAGAGACGAGAGGTTGGATCTTGTTGCCACGACGAAGGAATTCAGCAACTTGGTGTTGCCAGGATAGCTTCTTTCGGTTGAATGGCTTATGGGTCGAACGAATGTCGTGCTGCCGGAGGAGATTCAAATGGAGGGCGGAGGGTGAATTCGAGTGCTTCAAGGGAGAGATGCGGTTGCAGGTGCAGTTGCAGTTGCAGTGCAGGCGGCAAAGAGTAGTTCAGGACGGGAGTTGGTGGCGATCTCTCTCGACCTCTCTCTCTCTCTTTCGCGCCCAACGGGGAGAGGGACCGCCTTTTCTCTCTCAATTTTAATGGTTCCGTTTTTGGCAGCTCGATTAATACGTTTTAAGCGATTTTATAACAAACAGTTAATCTAAGCATTGGTGAAAGAGAGTAGGATGAATGAAATCTCGTGTTTTTTTTTTTTAATTTGATTTAGCTAATTAGAAATGTACTCGGAATTTCATTTTTCTTGTACCGCCGTTTCATAGATTAAAAAAGGTGGGTGGGGACCGGCCCTTTTTGGGCATTAATATAAGGCTCTCACACCAGCTACAGAATGTTTAAATTGAGTCATAATTACTTTACGCCACCTGCAAAGCAAAAGTCTAAAGTTGGCGTGATTGTTATCGCAGCTAAACTAAGACGTTAATAACCAAGAACTCCATGTGCTGCAATTAAATGACAATGGAGCACGAGCCATTTAAAGGTTCACTCATTACGGAAATCGAAAAACTCATGACCTTACGATACACAGGCAGCCCCTTTATACTCACCATTTTGCTGTTCTTGGACTTTCATTCGCCAAAAGAGAGGTTAATTACCTAAACGTGCAACACGAGCTTAAACAGCAATACATCACGACCAAATTGCCATTATGAGATTATGTGATACACGAGTACAAAGTAAATCCATAATTTCGAAGATCCATTATTCACGGAGCTACCATAAGTTATTACCTAAATTAATGCTAATGCAAACGTTATAAGATAAAATAAGTGCGATAAAATTCACGAGATTGCGATTCTTTTAATAAACTATAGGATACAAAAAGGTGTAAAGTAGATTAATTTATAATCATATATAATATATTATATCTTGACTAAACAATAAAAGAGAAAATGGATGGAAGGAAAACCTCTTCTCTTTTTCTTCCGCCCCCTCCTCTCACTCAAAGCTGATGAGGATGATGAGACTGATCACAAGATGATCCGCCCCTCACGATTTTTTTTTTTTATCTATACTACTCTGACTCTCAACTCACTCTCAGACTTTTATCTTACCTCTTGCAGGACGTGAGAGTCGAAACATACATCCAAAACTACACGTCCCCATTCCTAACCCCATAAAAAGATAAGGGTTCGAATTCCCCACCTCCCCCTTCCTCAATAGGAAAGGTGGCCATTGGACAAACCCCAGTGGTTACGTCCCCCACGATCTCATTCTCGTCTTTTGTGCCCATGCTCGCCGCCACGTGTCCACCCCCATCTCCCCTCCCCGGTCCCCCGTGCCGCCTCTGTGCACCCACGCGTCACTCTATCACCTCCCTCCCCCCTCCCTTCCTCTCATAGACATGAGGGACAAGCTACAAGAAGAGAGAGAAAAGTGCAACTTGCGTGGTGTTTGCCTCTCGCTTTTCCCCCTCCCTTTTCCCTTTTTTTTTTTTTTCTCTTTTTCTCTCTCTATTTACAAAACAGAGAAAAATCATTTCAATAAGTCCATCGAATCCAGAAATGAAAATATGGGTCATCGTTTCCCGGATCGGTCCCTACCCGGCTCAGAATCGGGAACCGACTGACCAGCCTGTGAATCTCGATTCTAAAATTTTGAGTATCGAAGGTTGAATTGACTAGTTTCCAATTCTCTCGGGAATTGAACCGACCAATTCCCTCGAGAACCTTCAGCATCTTATTTCGTTTATAATAAAACGTAGTATGGACCATCGTTTCTCGGATTGGTCCCCGCGACCCTCGGTTCCAAAATTCTTGGAATTGGGGAACCCAACCGGTCAGTTCTCAATTTTCATCACCAAAGAAAAAACACAAATGCGGCATAAATTCAAAATAAGAAGAACATACGTTGATCAAGAGATTAGGTCAGCACCGGTTCGGTCCGGTCCGGTCGTGTCCCTTCCCGAATTCTAGCATGATCGGACGAACACGACGGACCCGAGAGGACGTGTTCCTCCGTGTTGTCGCGCAATGCGAAAGGAGGAGGAGGAGGAGGTGTGAGACAGCGCGTTCCTCCTCGTCAGTAGCTCCGTTAATTCTGGTTTTTTTTTTCTCTGCGTAGGTCTCACCTCCCTCCACCTCCCACCTCCTTTGCTTCCATCGCCATTCCTTTTCCTCGTTAACATCGAACCTCTCTCTCTCTCTCTTCTTCTTCTTCTGCTCTGTTGTATATATATTGCAATACCTCCTCTTGTCTTTCGCTGTCCTCGCCCCGCTACATTCTCTCTCTTCCGACGATGGCTCCCATGAAGATCAAGAGGCCCCACGCCGGCTCTCCTTCCCAGACCCTCCCCTCCTCGCCGGAGGCCCACCTCCTCGTCCGCGAGACCCTCCGCATCAGCGCCAATCTCGCCTCCTCCGCCCCTCCCCCCGCCGCTCCCGCTCCCGCTCCTCCTCCGGTGGTTTCCGCGGCGGCGGCGGCGGAGGCGAGCCGGGAATCGAGGCCCGGGATTGCCGCGGCGGGGCTCGCGGGCGGGCAATTCGTCGACTCCAGCCTGCGGCTGATCTGCTGCGAGGAGCTCGACGGCCGCAGGTGGCAGTACGTCGCCGAGGAGGGCGGCGAGGCGTCCGTCTCCGGGAGGTTCAGGAAGGGATCGTTCCGCGCCGTCAGCTTGCAGTCTCCTCAATCGCCTGCCCACGTCAGTACTGCCTTCCTTTCTCCTCGTTCCTTTCCATTGCTTAGCGTTTGGTTTTGTTTGGTGTGTGCAATGGTCTGGTTAGGATGCATTGCATTTGCGGGGTGTGTTGCCGTTGGTAAGTATGGTTGAAATTGGGAGGAGATGCGCAATTTTGGAGGCGCCAATGCGTTCGCTGAAACTTGATGAATTGCGTGATATTGTTGTCGTGCATCTTGCGGGGAAGCTAAGACTTGTGCTATGATGATGATGATGACAAATATTCAAGTTTTGGAGAGAGATCGCCCCGTCACTTGTCAATTGTAGTTGGACAGTTTGCTGGTTTATATGAAAGGAAGTGAACTTTTGCTAGTTTGTTCCTTTCGATTTCAATTCAGTTTGCCCACTATTTGTCTTAATTGCAGATATCCAGACCCCATACCTTGCTAGACTGCAGAATTATCACGTCAATAGTGAATATCTGGTGTGATGCTTACCTGCATATCTGCCTGATTATAAGTTGTACACTTGACGCGGTAGGGTATATTTGTGGTGCTTGTCTCATTCCTGAGATGAGATGGACATGGAATACATATTCATCAACGAATGGATATGAAGCATAGGGAGACTGTCGTGATCTCGATTCTTTTTACAAGATCGGTTATATGCTGAAATATTTTGGTTTTCCGGTTGGTTCTTTGGTAGCTCGTCTAAGTTTCTTGGTGCTGCTTGCTTGTCGTGGGTCGATTGCATGAGCTGTAATTGGGTCATCCGGCTTTGATGTTTTACTTGTCGTGTTTCTTCTACTTTTTCTCTGACTAATAAATGTTCGTGCCGTCAATCAATAATAAATTGCCTGCCGCTCAAAATAAATTTGCCCGGTTTTTCTGCGACCTCACTATCATGCCTGTTTTGATTCAGGATATCATGTCATTTGTAAGATCTTATGTCGTGCCGGAAGGTTTTCCTGATAGTGTCACCCCCTCGTATGTGCCATACATGACCTGGAGGGCGTTAAAGGTACTGCTACAATTTTACCACTCTCCCATTCTAGCGGAATAAAAAGCCTCATTCTTAGTAATGTACACATGGATCAGGTCATATTGAATTGCTGCAAAATGCCGGCGCATACTTTAGTCTTCCCTGGTTCTCAAACATAGTTATGTCTGTTGCAGCACTTCTTCGGTGGAGCAATGGGAGTTTTCACTACACAGACCCTTTTGAATTCTGTCGGAATTTCAAAAAACAGAGCTACTTCTGGTGCCGTTGCTATTAACTGGATTCTCAAGGTAGGACTTTTTAGCATATTTCCAAATGAGTGTATAAAGTAAACGATGATGATTTAGTCAACAACATGAGAGCGGAAGCCCTGCAAGATCCCCTATGGAATTTGTAATTGGCAATTGCACCCCTAGTGGTATGCGCCTTCGATTTTTCCTGATAGTCCCTGCGATAAAAAGGTGCCGTGTGCCTTCATTTAGTCCTGATAATGCCTGTGATAAAAGATTTCTTTAGCATTTCCCTAGGTTCTTAATATTTATATCAAGTAAACTTGGTTGTTCTGCTATCTGCTTCGATGTTACACCAATACTTGCTCAGTTGATCAATCTTCTTTATTTTATAGCGGTTCCAGTTTTCCATAGGTTCTTTTCCTCCTTTCCATCTCTATTTCATCCCTTTTCATTTTGGAGCGGGTAGGGGTGGTAAATCTTTGGCAGTAGGGTAATTCAGCCAGAGCTTGATTCTCTGTCTTTGAAAGTCTATGCATGTGGTGCCATTGTAAATTTGGCTAGTTTTCCCCATTTCTTGTCCTTGGGGGTGTTGTAGACTAATTTCAGAAGAGTTCCGCGTGATATCATATGAGAACCCCTTCCGGTGCTGCGAATATGCGTGCTTTGTGTTGGAATAGAGAGTGCATTCAGCTAATAGGATTATTTAGATGGAAGAGTGTGAGCTGAAGGTTCTGTCAAATAATTGATTAGAGGTGGCAATCATGGTGATTATATGAACTATTGCATGCACATCTCTGCTTAGAAGTTGGACACTAATTAATTGTATGTCTGTCTCTATGAAGCGGCACAAGTTTGACTGAGGAAGTTTGACTCTCATTACCGCTTTTCAGATTTTGTATGGATTAGTTAGCTTAATTGGAAAAATTAGGCATTGGCGTTGGAGACTTGTAGTGCCAATAAGTTGCATAATTTTAAATTTCGGGGAAAGAAACATGAATGGGACTTTCTTTACCAGGGAGTTTGATTGTCAATTTACTTTTCCTCATAACCAGTTAACATTGTACCGAAACTGTAGGACGGCGCTGGACGTGTTGGGAAGATGCTTTTTGCAAGGCAAGGAAAGAAATTTGATTATGATCTCAAGCAGGTAACATGCCTTTTGTTGATGACTATGCTGTGGGTGCTGGCTTTTCTACTGAAAATATTGATTTTCTTCTTGCAATGCTGGAAAATTCTAGTTGCGCATTTCAGGGGATCTTCTTTTGGAATTAGGTGCTGGAATGGAGTTGGCAACTGCAGCTGTGCCTCATCTTTTTCTTCCTTTGGCATGTGTTGCCAATGTGGTCAAGGTTAGATTTACTTTATCAGATATTTGACATGATTTAATTTCTTTTCAGTCCCTTCACTTCTTAGCACTTAATACGCAGAATGTTGCTGCCGTAACATCAACATCTACCCGGACACCAATTTACAAAGCTTTTGCTAGAGGAGAAAACATCGGAGATGTTACTGCAAAGGGAGAATGTGTTGGCAATCTTGCGGACTTGGTACAGATTAAAGATTTTAGTCAGATGTCTTTGTTCCTTTGATAAACGTTTGCACTACATACGGATCCGATGGATTGGTTTTAACAAGATCCTCATTTCTTACATTGATCCAATAGCGAAAATAGTGTGCTCATACCCGTTATCCTTTTCTCATTACAGTCCTTTCTGTCTATTTCTCCAGCTTACCTAACATGCTTAAGGGTCCGGTTTTCTCTATAAGCACTGTGAATTTGCTTTTGAATGTCTGGCTGAGCGATTACTTTCTATAACGTTCGTTTTGACAATGCCTCTTATATGCATATTACCACTATACCTTGTTATTGTGACAAAATTTGCAAGATAGTATCAGCACTGCATGCTTTTCCTTTCCCTTCTAACATATAAATTGGTTAAGTTATGTGGATACTGTTTGTATCTAAAAGAGAGCTTCTTGAGTCAGTAAAACTTAATCTACTTGTTTATAAGAGTAAAGTTAAATCTACTTGGGGGAGCTTTTGTTTTCTATCTTTAGTTCATTGTCCTTATCTTATGCACTTGCTATTTCTACCCTGAAGATCTATTTATGGCCTCTATTCCTTTGGAGTGTTCTGTTTCTTGACTTTTTGGGACTGATACGGGTATGGAAACTTACTGTGAATCTTTGGAAAGCGCGTTATTTTCCCACGTCTTAAGCAACTTGAAGTTTCTGTTAGATTCTAATGGATATGCCATTGACCAGTCAAATTTTCATTTTTTGAATTCAAGTAATGGATGTTAAGGTTTAAGGTTGATATGCAACTGGTGCGCGCTTAATTCATGACAGAAAGGGCATCATTAGTTACTTGTGTGAGTGATAACGTGAGTTCAGTTTTCCTCCTTCCCTTCTTGTTTTTCCCTTTTCATTTTATGTTTGTGAAAAAGCATAGGAAAGAGAAGAGGGTGGGGTGGAGGGTGGGCAGGTAGAAGGGTACATTTGACTTTTACTGTTCACTGCTGTCTGCATCGTAGACTCGAGAATTGGGGATTTTGGATTATACAAATGATAATCACTGATGTGTGTCTTGTATCATTTTGCAGTTGGGAACTGGCATGAGCATTATGATCTCCAAAAGGAATCCCTCCTTGGTTAGAACATTTGCTCTTTTGTCATGCGGATATATCTTCAGCTCCTATCAGGAGGTTTGTTTGCAAAACTCTCTTTCATGGACACAAAAGCATTTTTTCACAGACATGGGGTGATGAGATATTGAAGGAAAATGCTTTCTTATGCGACGTTTGATTTCTTGATCCATTTTTTGTTGTGTTTTTTGCAGGTGAAGTCCGTGGTTCTGCATACATTGAACCGTGCAAGATTCAGTGTGGCTGTGGATTCATTCCTCAAGACAGGTGAGAATGTGTTTCTCTGTGGCGTGGATGACATTATAGTCATTTTTCTAATCAAGAGAATGATCTGGTCATCCCCACGGCAAACTGTCATAATGTGGAAGTTGCATACATATCTTACAGTTGATTATATGTTGCTTAATATGCAGGTCGAGTCCCATCCTTGCAAGAAGGGAACATGAAAGAAAGTATATTTACCTTTCCATGGTTGAAGGAGAGACCGATTGTTCTTGGTAGGTATTTTGAAGATTGAAAGAAAGAACTTTCCCTATTTCTTCAAACGTCTGAGCTGAGCTCTTTCCATTTGACAGGACCAAGATTCAAGGATGCCTTTCAGGACGCAGGTGCATATCTGGCCATAGCACCTTTCTTTGAGGTATATCTCTCCCTCACTCTGTGTGCGTGTGTGGGGTTTTGTGTGTTAGTGTACCCCCTTTTTCCTGAATTGGCCTTTGTAACAAACAAGGATTTTATCTTGATTGATGACAGCAAGAAAAATATATTGTCACTTACAATCCCTCGAAGGGTAAAGTATTTGCCTTGCTGAAAGATAAGGCGAAGCCAGATGACGTTCTTAGAGCAGCCTACCATGTGAGACACTGTTGCTTCCTGCATTTCTTTACTCCGTTTCACCTGGTAAATTTGCTTATCTTTTCACATGAGGGTCTTACTACGTACACATCTCTGCTTCAGGCTCATGTGCTTCTGCATTTCCTACACTCATCAAACAAAGGCTGTTTATCTTCTGAGACTGCGCAAGAACCAAGTTACTCATACCGCGCCTTATCAATTGCCAACCTTGAGGATCGCATTGCCAAGTCTTGTGATATGGTGTCAGCCTCTTATGGGCTGTTTAAGAGTAAAGCAGCAGAACAGGCAAGTGAATCTGCACCTTATTTTATTTAAAGACAGTTTAACTGGTTCCTGTTCCTTCTGATATGTATATGCATGCCTTGGTATCACTCCCCACTGTGTCCTGGTGCTAGCGTCTGTCTGGCAAGCACTCGGTCAAACTGAGAATGACATTATCATCATACAGCTCTTCTAGCTTCACTGGGACAACCAAAACTCGCCTTACGATTCATGCCTAGAACTAAACTATTAATATGATCTAACAAATTGAAAATGTTCTTGTTGCAGGGGTGGGTGATGTCTGAATCACTTCTTAATCCCGGTCGAGCTCGGCTGTGTTGAAAAAAATCAACAGGATAAGATTCGATGACTCGGTTGACTTTTATCCTCTTCCCACCTGTGGAAGGCAATGAAGATCTAATTTCGGATCTTCACGTGGATCGAGGATACAAACAGCAATCATGTGGATCGACGATACAAACAAGCTGTTAGCGTAAGGGGCTCTGTCTGCCGAGGCCATTGGTGATGGCTCCTATTTAGCGGTCAAATACAGACTAAAACATGTGTCTAATGGAGTCTCTGCTCAATCACGCGGAAGCGACCCTGCAAGATGGAAATATTGAGGTCCGTCCAAAATGTAGCTGTACCATAGTACTTTTTCTTGTATTTGGGGTGACATCACACTATCACAGGGCAGGTTCTCTCTCACTCACCCTCTCTGTCTCTCTCTCTTTAAAGAAAAATTTTGAATGTGGCACTGGCTGCTCTTTCCTTATTGTTTTTATCTTTTGGTCTTTCGGTGGCATTCCGATGTTTCTTCCCACTCCCAAAGTTGTCTCACCATCTTTTCGTTTTCTTCTCATATGTATGTGGATTTATATATGAACTGAGTATGTCTGATACTTTGCTTTATAATTCGCGGCATATATCATCGTATGAAGCATTACAAAGATCGTGTTTTTTTTGGCCTCTTTCGTACTGTAACTAAAATTGCAAATCAGGGCATCGAATTCTGTACCCTCGAGGGCACACTGAATGAATTGTCGGTCCCACCCAAATTCAGAACATTAGAGCTGTCTCGGGTTTAAAGGTTAGAAGAAGGTCTTGAACCTCATACCACCTTACCGCCACCCGAATCGAGCGGCGGAGCCACGGACCCAACTTTTAACCGGCCTTTCTACGTTACATACGATAAATCATCGTGCCATGTCTGTTACCGTGCTTGTCTAGCTTATTGTTTGTCGAGATGCTTCTGTGTTCAACACGAGCACGAGTGAGAAATTAAACCTTATACGGAGTCGTTACAGCTAAAGAGAGCTATGAACTAAGGGTGTGCAAAACGGACCGCTCGGACCGGAGTGAATCAGTTGCTTTGATTCAGTTCCTGAGAGTGTTGGTTCGGTTTCTAGTTCTTAAAAATGAAATCGGTCGGTCCGGTTCCCAGTTCGAAGAGGGAACCGGATCGGACCGAATACATATACTTTTTTTTATTTTTTCAAAAAAATTAGTAAAATATAAACTAAACCAACGTACAATGCTTTTCCCTTATTATTGCACCACAACGACTCTTCGCTCATCGTTACTTCCGTCAATATGTTGAAATTTGTCACTCTCTTTCGTTGTGGTGGGGAAAAAATAAAAAAAGTGACCAATTCCATTGGACCGGTCTGGTCCCCGGTTCTCAAAATTTGAGAATCGGGAAACCGATCACCTCTACTTCGAACCCACATGGTGAAGCGACTCCAGCGAAATTAGATCGAATTGAACATGCCAATAAGTCGGATAATTAAGCTTGACCCCGGATTCGTCGATCCATTAGCAGGAAGACGATCATGGAATCCTCTAGTTCGGATGCATGCCGGTTTAAAACTCAATGACCGGAGTCACGAGCAGCAGATGCACGAGCGAAAAAGGACGGATCCTATTAAATGGTATCGGTCGTCATCTTGTCCTTTTAGAGTTTTCATGTGGATTACTTGGAGTCCCGTGGATGGACCAGGCAGCACCCCTATTTAATTCCATGTTGGAGTTCATGCATGATGCGTGGATACATTTGAAACTCTATACTCATTGAATACACAATGACCATGACTATTCGTATCGGCCAATTTATGCAAGAAAAGTACGAAAAAGAAATGTCGTGAACCTATTAAATAGATGTCAATTGAATCCTAAACTTTTCAATATAACTAAATTAGTCATAAGCCTTTTGATGATTTATTAATGTAATCCTTGTGATCAATTTTGGTTCGAAATCGTTGACGTTGACGTCTTAGTTGGTAGGACGGTGTTGATGTGGATAATTCAAGACATACGATTGGCATCCATTTCCAATCGAGTTGACTAGACCAAAATCCGGGACCTTACAAATTCAGAATAATTTTTAGCACCAGTTGTGCCTTGTATGGAGGTTAGCATCCATTTCGGCAATTTTCGGTCAAAATTGGCCGACTGGCTACATTGGCAAATCGTCAAAAGGTTCAGGAATAAATTGACCAAATTGAAAAGTTTAAGACTGTACGAGCATCCGTAGAATAGATTTAAGACTTTTTTGGTAATTATCAATAACTCGAGCTGATAAGATGAACTCAGGTGTAGACCAAAACCAATTGTTTCTTTAAACCCCACGCATAGGCCACACTGGGATTGACTTTTCGTCAACCTCTAGGCGGCAAACCCACTTTTACATGAGTGTCAACGTTTGCTACTATCGATAAAAAAGAAACAAAGGTTATGTTTCGTGTTTTGCCTCGAGTCCCACTGGGTGCATACCGAAGCTTTTCCCATCCTCACGTCTTGCTTTCAGCCACAGAGCGATGTTCCCTGCCTCAAAGAAAGTGCAAACCTGAATCCTCAACGAAAAGTCACCTTCCATTCTTTCTCAAATTTCAAATTACAAAAAGTCCTCCATTTGGATTTTTCTTTTGGCGACCGAAAGAACTCGGATGAGATGCCGAACAAAACCTGCATTGTAATATGCATTGGACCCTATTCACGCGCAAAACGCCGGCATTTGAACATAGATGTCTGTTAGAAACGATCATAGACTACATATTCGATTGCTTAAAAGGGGATCAGCAAGATAAATGTGCAGAATTTTTTACTAGAGTTGACCGGATCATAAGTTTTCCAATGAGATAAATCTCGTAAAAGTTAAGTCTGTGCGCCACCAGTTCGGGTCAACCTCAAAATTTGGTCATGACGGCGTCATTGGATACATTCCTTTCGACTAGTTTAGGACCAATTCTTCCTTGCAACAGTTCCACTCCGGAACCATTAGCTTGCGACTTGAAACCACACTCACCAGTAACTAATCGGCCAAGAGTAGTTCTAATGATAACATGATGATTATACCATAAGATGAAGCTTTACAGATCGGTTCGAATATCGGCAGCAACAATGTCGTCGACTTCCATAAAAAGTAGATAGATGGATAGTAATTGGCGGAAGTAGGAGGGAGATTTCTGTAGAAAGAAGTGTGTTTGCGAAATAAAAAGAACAGTATGTGGTGAAAAATAAAACTTGAAGGAAGAATCATGTGAAGAAAGAAGAGGTGTCTTCTTGCGAAATGCACCGAATGGAATATGTCAAATCTTTTCCACAATATCAAGAGAAGTTTGGGCAAGTAAAAGTGGAGAAACAACTGCCTTGTATTAAGAATTTGGCTGGTGCTCGAGTAGAGCCGAGTGTCGGCTTAGAGATCTCAAAGAGGGAGCCTAAGTGCGAGTAATTAGGCACATCTAATTAACGTATAATTCATTAATTTGAGTATTTTAGTGAAAGGTTAATTCTAGTAGATTTGCTCATAGACTCGGAATTTGGTCCCTCTTAAAGATCTCCTTAGGATGAGGTCTGAAACTTTCTTTGTACATCCCAAGAAGTGGTAGGAGAAGTTTTAAATCTTATCCTAAAGAGATTTTCAAGAGGGAGCTCAAGTGCAAGCAGTAAATATATATAGTTAATTTATAACTCAATATTTAAAATTTTCCAGTATGGGTGGCTCCAAAATTTGTTAATGTGCTCGGGTTTTAACTACCTCTTAGAGATCTAACTTGAGGATGAGGTATTAGACTTCTCTGCATGTCCCAATAAGTGGTATTAGAGTCAATAATAGATCGATGGCACCAATATGTTTCGATGTTCGATAATCATCTCAAGAAAAGATCTCTTAAATTTTCGCAGTTGCTAGGTGAGGATTGCCATCAAAGTTCAATCTGCGCCAAAAAGAGTTAATGATCGAAGGCACGCCTCGTCCTATAGCAACCCCGGCTCTAGTGTACCATCATGGGTTAGCACAGTGTGGTTATTACATGTGTGGCGGTTGGAACTGATGGATGTTGCAGCTAATAGCAACCTGGCGAAGATTTAAGTTAAATATGTTGGGATAGAATGATACTATCGATTAGGGCGGAGCTGCCTAATACGGAAGGCTTTGCACGTAAGCGTGAGATTTGCACATTGAGGTGCACATTTGGGTATTGATTTGGTGTAAAAGTGTTACAATTACTCATTGATATAGTGTGGAACAATTAATATATCTAGTTAACTATAACCCATTGACTTAAATTTTTGAGAATATACGAATGAGCTTAGACTAAATCAGATTTCGTCTTGAAGATCTGTCCATGATGAGATATTGAACTTCTGTTACATATCTCAACAACTTTTAACGTTGTTAAAATGCCATGCATTTGGCCGAGGGTTTCATGAAAATGTGGATGTAGGAACTTTTTTTTTCTCTCTCTTCCTTGACGGAAGAAAAGGAAAACTAATTCCTCTTATTCAACAAGAACTATCTAACGCCAGTACGAACTTAACAAAGTGCATCATTACATGATTACCGGATTTGATAGAACACATTTTCTGGAAGTTTAAACAGTTGTGTTTTGATTTATGTTTCGGATATTATAGCAGACATTACAGGATCATTTGTTTCTAAGGACTTACGATGATTTCAGGAGGCTAAAAGATTGTAAAGCGTCAATTTCCAGCTGCTAATCATCACCACCACCATCTTCTCGTACACTTAGCTTAGCTTTAACAAGAACGACTCTTTATCAGCTTGAATGGAGTACAAAACTCAATATGACTTGTACATATGAAGGGGAAGCACTTAGAAATTACACAACGATGATAACTCCATGAGGCATTTACCTGTCTAAATCCGCATCTTATAATAAAGGCAGAATAATGATAGTATAATCAATAAACCTACACCATTTATAACTATTAGATCCTGGGGAATTCATAAGACAAACTCTCTCTAAAATAAAGAACAGTTATGGCGATCATTTCCGACTCTTAGCTGACACAAAGAAATCTGGCTCACAACAAAAACATAAAGGTAACAGCAAACTGATCATTATAATAAACCCACTTATGTATATGCAAATTCATAACGAGTTCATCGTTCTGACTAATTTAATTTAATGAACCGGGTGTGTCATTATTGGAGGGGTTCTTCTTGGCAAGGTTGTGCTTGTTGTTGTGCATCCACACCTTGAGCACTCTCCTCTTCACTCCAATCTCTTGACAGAACTGCTGAACCACCGACTCTTCTTGCTTCTGAATCTTCCAACCCACCTTCTCTGCAAAGCTGAACATCTTCTCCTTCTGCTCCTGGGTGAACTTTGTCCTGAACCTCTTCTTTACCGCCTGGTGGTGTGGCGCTCGAATTGCTGCTGCTCCGCCTCCGCCGCCGCCATCCTCCTGCTCATCGGACTCGGAGGGGCCCGAGTGGGAGTGGGCCCCAATGCTGTAAGGGATGATCATCTGGTGGTGGAGTGGTGGAGGTGTTCTTGAGGAGATGAGAGTGCCTGCAGCTGTAGGGTAGACTAACCCATGATGATGATGAGGAGGAGGCTCGTGACCACCCAGCACATTGACATTCTTGGAATGGATCTGATGACCCAGGATAAATTTCCTCCCAGGCTTGTTCATCAGATTGTGTGGTGGGGTCTGGTTGTACCATTGATGGTCATGATCATCACCGCCACCTTCAACTTCTTTCCTGTGAAAGTTCCTGTGGCAGTTACAGGCTGAGCAGGTGAGGGCTTCAATGGTGCCTTCCTCTCCGCTGGGCATGAACTCGCCGCACCCGTCCATGGCAGTCCCTCCGATGGAGGCTGCATGGTTCTTGAGGCACTCTTTGTACTTGACCACCACCTTCTTGTAGGGCATCACATGCTGGTGCTGAGGCTGAGGCTCCTCCAAAGGAGGCGGTGGTGGTGGTTGCGGAGGAGGGCCATTGGAGGGGATGCGAGGGAGGTTGATGTGGTTGTTGTGCGATGGGATTGCAGAAGAAGGGTCGTGTTGTTGTGGTTGATGAATCAAGTGGCCGCCATGACCCCCACCAAAGCTGCTGTTTATGGGGATTGGGATATCCCCATCTTGACTTGGAAGCTCCATAAATTCTCTCTCTAGCTAGTGTGTGTCTTTGCTATAATTATGGCTTTTTATTTAATGGGGTCTTGGTTTGTTTGTTTGGAGACAAAAAGGGGCAAGCAAGCAAGAAACAGGAGAAGAAAGACAAGGAAGAGGTTTTAACAATGATTAAGCTGAAAAGGGTTTTGCTTTCTTGCAAGACTTCTAGAAAATCTTGCACTTCAAAAGGGCTAACCAAACAAAACCCCAGTTCATCACTTCAGACTTCAGAAGGTCAACATGGGAAGAACATGCGCGGGCGAAGGAGAAGAAGAAGCTAATTAGTCAAATTAATTAGTGCTAAACAAGCAGGACACAACCAAGCCTTCTCTCTCACTCCTAACAAATGTCTTCTTTCCGCTTCCCGAAACCAAGCAGAGAAGTCGGGATCAGCGCTCACACTTCACCATCTGAAGTCTTTTGAGAAAAACAAGAATCATTACAGAAGGGAAGAAGAAGAAGACTAGCTAGTAGTTAGTGCCTTGTATGCATTATTAAGGCAGCAGACAAAGGGGAAGCACAGAATGGCACGAAACCAAACCATTATGATGACTAAAACTCACATGAGCATCATTTGTGACTTCTGAGCACAAACAGCTTCCTAGTCTGAAGATGACCCAGTTTAGCAGAAAGAGCAAGAGAGAGGGGAAAAGAGAGACAGCGAGAGAGAGAGAGACAGAGAGAGAAGTAGTCAATAGCTAGGGCAGGTTTTGGTTTGCTGACTAGTGAAGCACGCTTAGGAGTGAGCTTATAGAGGGGTGGCGAGGTGAGAGAGTGTAAAAAAGCAAGTGAAGAGAGAGAGGGCAGGGTAAAAGAAAAGCAAAAATCTTTTGCAGACAGAGCGGGAATAGAAATGAGTTAACAGGATGATAAAAGCCAAAAAAAAAAAAACACACACACACACGCTGACACACACACACAAATGAATGGATGAAAGAAAGAAAAGGAGGTGGTGTGCACTGTTTGCTTTGCTTGCACTATCAGGCATCCAAGTTTTACGCCAGATTGCACCAGTGTGTCAGAGAGAGAGGCCCGGACTCGAACAAATTACGCACACAGATTCTCTTCTCGCATTCAATTCTGGTGCCATAATCTAGTGAGCGAGTGTGCAACTGCATGCTCTTCATGTGAATGATGCATTTCCATATAAATGACAGGTTCTATCTGTCAATATTATAATTTCTGAATGATGGATATACATATATATGTGCATGCATCATGAAATGATGGGTTTGTTCTTGGTATGTGTTTAACCATGAGGCATGAACCATCCATCTTATTTTCAATTCAATTTATTAAAGTTCACACAAATTCTTTCACGTTATATCCCGCTATATCACTTTCTTAAAAGACTTATTAGGGAGATACATGTGGCACTGGCATGTACCACCATGGCAAGAGTTTTCATTTCTTGTACAATTCATCCATTTCCTGAATAGGGAGAATATAAAATGGGGTCCACACGTCACATTCTATTTGTTATCTGATAATAATGTCACCGTATTAACATACTATTTTGATTCAGCAATGAAAATTTTGTTAATTATCTTATATACGGGTGAAATTATTTTGTACGATAATATTTCATGTATCACACCGACATAATATCACCGAGATAGTTTTTTCTAATACAACTTTGATAATCACACTGCTTTTCCTAATATTCATTGACGAGAGATGAATTTGTATTATTTTTTTCTTTTCTCTTTAAATTGGAAAACTCTATGATATAGACGACTTTTACTTCTCCTATATTTATTTAACTATGGTATTATACGTACATAAAAATTAAGCTGATCGGCTTTTGTCAATTTATCATCTTCTATAAGCCACTAGCCCATTGGATCTAAATATGGAATTGGAGAGTTTGATATATTAATCGTATTCGCGATTTAATATAATTAAATAAATTTTATATACTTCTATGTGTTGTAATTTCCAACATCAACCTCATCAAGAAATTGATGAATTCGTCCATAATCAAGTTCATGTGAAAAACCATAGCTCGAAAATAATGTAATGGTGAATATGTGCTTGAGTTACTGTACAACTCGGGATCAAATTGTGTAATATATTTAAGCAAAAGTCTTATGAAATTATGATTTAAATACACACCGCATTATATGCAAATTTGGCCCTTCAAATTTGATTCTCCTTTTTTTTCCTGAATATTGTTTGAATGAAACATACTTGAGCGCCACCATCGATTTAATTAGAATGAGTATGTGTGCTATTATTTATATCAATCCAATGGCACGACTTTATAACTAGTTCACTAGTAACACAAATAAAGAAAATATCTTAAACTAATATTTGGATGAAGATAAAAGAAAATTTCTCTTATTATTTGATATAAAGTAAAACAATAGGACCAAGATTATAGTAAGAAAAGAAAATTAAATTGTAAAAAAAAAAGTGATTTGAAAAATATTTTTAGCGTCCACAAAAATATTTAGATATAAATTATTGCATATAATGAACGTATTTTCCATTTACTAATTATTTAAGCAATACAAGCAATCATTTTTTGGAAAGCATTTTTCAAGTCATTCATTTTTTGCAAAACAAACGGAGCCCTATAATTGTCAATTTTTTTTTCTTTTTACGATTTCGATTTCTTTTCTTGCTATTCTCTTCATCCTATCGTTTTACTTCCTATCAAATAATAAGAGAAATTTTCTTTTATCTTCATCCAAATATTATCTCAACATAAAGGCGTGCTTATCTACTGTCACAATAAAACACACACACACACACACACATATATATATATATATATATATGAAATGGCGGATTGACATTCAAAATAAGGTGAGGTGAGGTGAGGTGAGTGACCTAAGATGGGATTCTTTATTCAGATTTCATATTCGATTGAAAGTGGGGGAAAAAACAAGAAATCAAAGGAGAGTTACAGGAGAGAGAGAGCCTCTTTTATTGGAATTTTATCGTCACACGGAGATTGCTTTATTCGCTATTATCGATTTCTCCCACTTTATTCCACACTCTCACCACCACGCTTGACAACACTTTATCCCCCCCATCTTTAGGGTTTTTTGTTGCTATCTATGTTGTCTCTTCTTCTGGTAATTCTCTTGTCTTGAGAATACTCCACCTTTTCCCCTTTTCTGCTTTTTTCCCCTCGTACCCTTTTGAAGTTTTACATATCCTTTTTCTTTTTCTCTCTTCTCTCTTCCTTGTTTTTTTTTTACCATTGTTCCTTGTACTAAGTAGTAGCTCTAGTTGATTTCAACTAAGTTGAGATCATTGTAGTCACTGGGTTAGGTTAGAAAATGGAGAAAGACTACGTGAGCCTTCGATATTATATTAGAAAGTTCAACCCAAAAACATAAATTGATAGGTGGAGGAATATTTAATTTATGTTAATATATAGAGCACTTAGGACTCATTGTCAAGCGATGTTAGATAATACTTCAACATCTACCCTTGTAAAGCCTGCTTAATATGTACGTAACATTTCAATATTTTCAAAGTATAACTGTAATAATAAAAGAGTTGTTAGGTCGGAATATCATGATATATGTTCAAATCGGTTGCTCGGTTAACCATATTGATTATGGGTTAGCTTTCAATTAGAGATACGTCGTAACGCTTAATTTAGACTTCACATCGTAAGAAATGTGCAAGTATAAAAGATCGAGGTATGATCTATCGGACCAAGAGATGGACTGATAACGAACTTTCATTTTGTTGATCAAAGTCGAAAAAAACTTATGGTATGGCACTGTATATGTACATACATTAATTATCCATCCATATGTTTTTCCGAATGTAATGAAAGTTCACGAAAATGTACTTTAGATAATACAATTTTTTTTATTTATAAAACAGCTCATTTTTTGGAATATTTTATCGGTAAGACATAGCAATGGGACACGTCATGTCCAACTTATCAACGTATTCTGTGCCCCGTTTCCTGTTTGATTTGATCAAGGCGTGAATGTCATCCGAAGCAGCAGCCGTTGAGAGTCAGAATAAAAGTTGTAGATGCCAAAAAAACCCAGTTTAAATAAAAGGCCAAATATCTTAAGGGTCCTGAACCGTGTGTAACTTTCATAAATAATAAAAATAATATTCGAAAAATTGAAATTTATCCGGGATATACCAAAAGTTTTCATTTTGTTACCGTAAACGTCTCTATAATTTTGGCCGGTACAAGCGTAGTTGAAGTACTAACGTGGTGGTTGACACGACCCACTAGGGCTTGCATCATGTCCACCCGTGTTGTCGTCCTTCCAAGGTTGCGAGACCTCGCAATGGCTAGTCAAGGCCTACATATTCATTACGTTAGTTTTGCGAGAGTGACACCAACTATTGTGCGCGCGTGAGGTGCGAATATCATTCTACGTCTCGTGGCCATTTCTAAACGAAATGATTTTTTTATTCTCAGATTCAAAAACAATTTACGAGTATTTGAAGGCGTTTGATAAACCATGGCCCAAAATTTCTATTTCTAGAGTAGAAAAGAACAGTAAATGCGTTTGGTAACTACACAAAATTTCTATTCCCAAATAATATTTTAATAATATTTTGAATTGTTTAATTTTTTTTTTTTTTCTACTTTGGCCATCTTCTTTTTTGCGAGAGTGACACCAACTATTAACAATCCGATGTTAGGGTTGCGAGGTTGTCATTACGGGCCAATCCTCCCACTCTCTTTGATTTCCTTTTTAGTTTTTTTTTCCTTATTTTCATACTAATGTAATACCACATTAGCCCTAGTTCGCAAAACTAATGGAGACTCAATTTCATAGAAAAATCGGTTAACAATTTGCTGGATAAGTTTTGAAATTCGAGATATACTTTTACAAATAAAAAAATAAAGTTGAACTGAAATGTCTGATTTTATGAAGCACCCGTTTAGATTTTAAAAAGAAACACACAATATCGATAGGAAAACAAATTGGTAATCCACTTGTTATGAATCACTGATGGAGATCCGTCACATCACAATCATGTTTCAAAAATCGATATCTTATGTGTGTTTTTGTACCCTCCTGTTCCTCAATTTTTAAACAAAACACGAAATCTAACGTAAAATTTCGATTTTGTGAACGGGAAGAGGGGCGTCCTTGCCCGTGACAGAGGTGGTGGCTGGACGCAAAGGGTCCACAAAATTAATGCTGAGGTCGCAAATTCCAAGACAATCCCGACATTTAATTTCCATAGATTTATGTTTCCCTGACAAAACACGCACACCCGCAACAACTTCAATCCCACCAACAATCATGATATGCCTCTCTCTCCTCGGCTAAGATACATCTGTAGATACTATAAACACTAGAGATCTATGCATGCACACTCTTATCGTTCGTTTCTTTAGTTCTTTACTGTACCATTTGAAAATCCAACAAAAAAACTTAAACCAATAAGAGGTGAATGCATATCGCAAAATGCATGACATTTGGCTCCGATATCATGTCCGATACCATGTTAGAAAATTCAACATAAAAGTTTAAGTTAATACGTGATAGGAGTACGTGTAAATATAAAGAGCATATATGTCACGTTGTCAAGCGACATTGGATAATATATCAACATATAGCTTAATCGTTTTTTGTGGAAGTGTTCTTATGTTGTTTGCGTGGAATAATGAATATGATGTTTTGAGATGCAAGGAGGGGTGAGCAAGACCTGTGAGAACCATTTGCTCCCTAAAAGGAACAAAGGGGGCGCACACAAAGATGATTATGAGTCTAGGATTTGGTGATAAAGATCATTCATTGTTCTCCAACCTAAGGGAATGAGCCTTTTTTGTGCATTTTTTAAAAGCAATTTATCATTAGTCAAATGGGTTCTTGCTTTTGAG